TTCCCGCGGGGCGGGGGCGGGTGGCCCTCGGCGGGGTGTGAGGTGGGGGCCGGGAAGCGTCCCTGGGGGTAGCGGCGGCGGGGGCAGGATGAGCGCGGAGGCGGCGGACCGGGAGGCGGCCACTTCCAGCCGGCCCTGCACCCCGCCGCAGACCTGCTGGTTCGAGTTCCTGCTGGAGGAGTCGCTGCTGGAGAAGCATCTGCGCAAGCCCTGCCCGGGTAAGCGCGGCGCCTGCAGCCCGGGAAGCGGGACACGGCCACCGGCGCCGTCCATCCGGCCTCCCTCGACCCCGCGCCTTCTCGGCCACCGAAGCTGCGGCCTGGGAAGCGCGCACGGGGGCCGAGCTCTGGCCCGGTGCCTCGATAGGCATTAAACATCCTTGTGCTGGGGTCAGACATCCTTGTGCCGTTGGGGGTCAAGGAAAGGTTCAAAACAAAGGCTTTTCCACACCCGACGGGCGGGCCCTGCGCTGTCAGCCCGCCTTCTTTGGTCCTGTTTACTGTCTGGGGTTTCAGCACCTGCGAGGAGGGTCGGAATCCTCTTTACAGAACCCCGGGCTGTATAAATTCAGGGAGATGGGGAAAAATCAGCTATTCTGATGCTGATCGTGACGCTCATTAGTTCTTATCTTAGGTTCTGACTTTACTATCTGTTCCTCAGAGGAGAGGGTTTACTGACTCTTAATTATATGTTCCAAAGTTGGGCTGTAAATTAAAATAAAATGTTTGAAAGCAGGAACTGCTGTACAGTTGCAAGATGGCTGTTGTATAGTGGTGATAATGATTAATATTCCAGTTAAATGGGCATTATTGGGGAAAAGGAAACTTCCGGGCATTTCTGGAAAGAGGTACTAGCATGAAAATTAAGTGCCTTGAATTGCATTTTGCGAAATTCAAATCCAAATATAGCCTGTTCCGTCTAAAAGACTGTCCTTAACCGATGAGGACTAGTATGTGAGAAGTTAGTGCACTTTTACTTGGGCGGTTTTACCACCTATATTATGTCCTTTTAATTCGTTCTTTTTGAGAAGCCTATGTTGAGTGCTTACAGGGTGCCAGGCACTGTGCTAAATTCTTCACATCTGTTATTTCGCTTAATTCAGTTTTCATAATAATCCTGTGGGGTAGTTTGTGCTACCCTTTATTTTGCACTGGAAAATAGGTGTGGAGAATAACTTGATGGAAGTCCCCCTAATTAAGTGTCAGAACAATAGTTCTTAAAGCCTGTGTCTCTTTCCTCTAGTTGGCATTGGTTATTTGCTGAACTGGGAATCTAGAACTATTATGCTCTTCTCCTTCTTCTGCACTAATCTGTTATCCTTTCCTGCTTACCACTCTTCCTGATCTTCCCGCCTTCGCCCCCCTGCACACTTCTTATCCTTAGTCATTAATAACTACACAGCTATTTGTATTCCTTTCGTGGCCAAAAAACAATACATTAATGTTGAACGCTTACAGGGTGCCAGGCACTGTGCTAAATTCTTCACATCTGTTATTTCGCTTAATTCAGTTTTCATAATAATCCTGTGGGGTAGGTTGTGCTACCTTCTATTTTGCACTGGAGGAAACAGGTGTAGAGAAATAACTTGATGGAGGTCCCCTTAATTAAGTGTCAAAACAATAGTTCTTAAAGCCTGCGTCTCTGTCCTCTAGTTGGCATTGGTTATTTCCTGAACTGGGAATCTAGAACTATTATGCTCTTCTCTTTCTTCTGCACTAATCTGTTATCCTTTCCTCCTTACTGCTCTTTCTGATCTTCCCGCCTTCGCCCCCCTGCACACTTCTTATCCTTAGTCATTAATAACTACACAGCTATTTGTATTCCTTTCGTGGCCAAAAAACAATACATTAAATCCTTTTGCATCTTCATAATTAAAACTTTAATTAAGAATTTACTTTCTTTTAAATCCTAGATCCAGCACCAGTTCAACTTATAGTTCAGTTTTTGGAACAGGCTTCCAAACCTTCAGTTAATGAACAAAACCAAGTCCAACCTCCACCTGATAACAAGAGAAATCGTATTTTAAAACTACTTGCTCTTAAAGTTGCTGCACATTTGAAGTGGGACTTAGACATATTAGAGAAAAGGTATACAAGATTTAAATGACATTCTATTTGCAGTACTATCTATTAAATGACATTCTATTTGCAGTACTATCTATATATCTTGGTTTATTTCTATATATGCTTTTTGATATTGGCCCTTAAAATAGAAAAAATTTTTTTTCATTCTTGGTAAAATGTGTATGTATTTTTCAAAAGGTATAAGAAGGCAGGCTATATGAATGTTAGATGAATTTATTTATTTATTTTTTTTGTCTTTTTCGTGACCGGTAAGGGGATCACAACCCTTGGTGTGGTGTCGCCCGCACCGCGCTCAGCCAGTGAGCTCACCGGCCATTCCTATATAGGATCTGAACCCGCGGCGGGAGCATTGCTGCTCTCCCGGTGCCGCACTCTCCCGAGTGCACCACGGGGCCGGCCCTGAATGTTAGATGAATTTAAATTGTCCTTTAAAGAATAAATGATGCTATGAAGAATGAGGCAGTTTAATATTATTATTTTTGACATGGTAACTAGAAAAAATTCACACCTAAACTGTTTTAAGTGTTTCAATTGACTTTTACATATCTGAATAAAATGAAAGAAAATGAATAAAATTAATGATGGATGTTGCATAATGTGGATGATTTACTATTGAATAATTCAGTTAATTTTACTGGTCATAAATCAGTCACTACCTCCCAGTCTATTAAAATAGCTTATTAAAATCAATGCATATTTGTTTAAACATAAATACTTGCAAGGCTATGGTTAGAAATGATTTGTTTTCATCCCATTCCCTTCACAATTTAAAAAGAAATACCTTACAGAAAATTTGGAAAAATTCAGAAAATAGGAAATAATAGGGGAGGGGAGAGAAGTATATTTTAACATTTTTTGTGTAATTTTTGTCTTTTCTCACTATATTTTTAAACAAAATTTATACCTCCATTGGTACTGTTTTGATTTTTTTTCCACTTAAAATATGAATATTTCCCCATTTTTGTTTTTTTGAAGATGAGTCCATCGTATGGGTGATTAACTCATCCTCCATTGACAGTCATTTAGTTTATTTCTAGTTTTTCACTATTATACATCACAGGGCCTTAAATATCTTTGCTCATAAACTTTGTGTCTTGATTTATATCTTTAGGATAGATTCTTAAATTGCTGGTCATGTGGTATAACTATTTTTAAGGAACATGAGGTGTATTGCATCCCATGAGAGTTTATACTCTTACCAATAGTATTTTTTTTAAAAAACCTTTTTTTCAGCACACATTTTCCAGCATTAAATATTAGAATAAAAAATGTATTCTTTAATCTGAGGGGAAACCTATACATTAATAGACCAAAGAGACATATTAATAGCAGTGTGTATAAAGAAGTATGGTATACATAAGACAATTGGAAAATGTAATACTGATTGGATATTTGATGATAATAGCAAATTTTGATTTTTTTAGATGAGAAATTAAGACTGTAATTATGTTGAGTTAATTTTTTGAGACACAGTCTGAAATATTTGTGAAAGAAATGATTTGGGAAGTCGGTATTAGAGATGAAACACGATTGGAAGTGACATTTGTAATATATTAAATTTTCTTTTTTCTGTCTTTTCTTCAGGGCGATTAGGACAATTGTTCAAAGTAGTTTTCCTGTCAAACAGGCAAAACCTAGACCCCCTCAGTTAAGTGTGTAAGTTGGCAGATATGACCCTTACTTGGCAGTTTTTCATCAGAATTTTAAAAATTTTTGCAAGTTTTTAATAGCCCCTGTTACAGAGGAAGGAGAGCAGAAATAGGAGGGTAGAAGGCCTGCATGAAGGTTGGTTTGGGGGAATTACAGGGGTTGGAGAATCAGGTAGTGCCCTAGATATCTAGAGGAGAGAGCTCTGAAAAAGAAAGGGAGTACTTTGGGTATTGTGCCATTCATCAGAAAGTATTAAGATTTTTTTTTTTTTCATTTAATTAAATTGTCTTGAAGAAGTTATATTTTTGTTTTACATGTGGGCAAATTAATATATGTAAATACTAGTTGGGAATACGAAAGTTAATTACAAAAGTGATCACATCTGGAGTTCTGAACCTAATTCTTAAATTCTACGTAGCAGCTTACCCAAATGTGGAGCTAGAGAGCATAGTTTGTAACTTGATATAAATGAGCTTTTGTAGTCAATAAGTTTTACTCTTAAATTGAGTATTTTTTTTTAATGCAGAGACCACTGCCATGGCTATACTTCTCTACAATAGATGGTAAATTTTTTCATAGACCCAGAATATGTTTGGGCAACCTCTGTTTAATTGCACTGTGGTTTTTAGGGATATGCTTTTAAGGGACCTCTTTTGCTCCAGAGGTCTCTAGAGGATATTGAGAGCTATGAGTCTGATGGAGAAAATTTCTGACTGCATAAATGAAAAGCATTCTGCTAAAAATCTGGATGATTTTTAAAGCATTATATGTCAAAGTGTCAGATAATTTATAGTACAAATCTTCTAAGGAGTACTTGAAAAAAGTAATTGAAGTGACATTTGTAATATATTAAATTTTCTTTTTTCTGTCTTTTCTTCAGGGCGATTAGGACAATTGTTCAAAGTAGTTTTCCTGTCAAACAGGCAAAACCTGGACCCCCTCAGTTAAGTGTGTAAGTTGGCAGATATGACCCTTACTTGGCAGTTTTTCATCAGAATTTTAAAAATTTTTGCAAGTTTTTAATAGCCCCTGTTACAGAGGAAGGAGAGCAGAAATAGGAGGGTAGAAGGCCTGCATGAAGGTTGGTTTGGGGGAATTACAGGGGTTGGAGAATCAGGTAGTGCCCTAGATATCTAGAGGAGAGAGCTCTGAAAAAGAAAGGGAGTACTTTGGGTATTGTGCCATTCATCAGAAAGTATTAAGATTTTTTTTTTTTTCATTTAATTAAATTGTCTTGAAGAAGTTATATTTTTGTTTTACATGTGGGCAAATTAATATATGTAAATACTAGTTGGGAATACGAAAGTTAATTACAAAAGTGATCACATCTGGAGTTCTGAACCTAATTCTTAAATTCTACGTAGCAGCTTACCCAAATGTGGAGCTAGAGAGCATAGTTTGTAACTTGATATAAATGAGCTTTTGTAGTCAATAAGTTTTACTCTTAAATTGAGTATTTTTTTTTAATGCAGAGCAAATGAGAAAATACTGTTAAGTTAATGAACATCATAATAACTAGGGTTTTTGTTTTTGTAAACATGAAAAGAAATAGCATTAAAAAACTTTAAATTGAACCTCACTTTCAAGAAAGTTGTTTTATAAGTTTTGAATTTTTCTGTCTTGAGAGTAACATTTGATAGTCTTCACTCATTTCTTTTAGTATGAATCAGATGCAACAGGAAAAAGAGCTAACAGAAAACATTTTGAAAGTGGTAAGTATTGGCATCAGTTATGCAGACATTTCTGGAACATGTGTAGATGTGCCTCTACTGTTAGGTTTTTACTGTTAGATATAGGTAATATTATAAATTGTACAAATTTTCAACTCTAGTGGTAATGTACTTTACCTTTGATTCTATTGTTGAATATCTCATGATACTTTAGCAGGGAGAATCAATCTTACAGGTGATATCTTTATATTCTTTTGTATTTTCCAAAAATTCTACAATATGTATGTATTACTTATATTTTTAAAATTATTTTTATAACCAGAAAATTATAGCAGTTACCTTTTAATTGATCTACTTAATATAAAAGGAGAAATATGGAAGTCTCTGTAATTATTTAATACTTACAGTATTCCAGAGATAGCATGTGAGGTGTAGATACTGGGGGAGGAAAGGGAAGATAAAAAATAATCTAGCAGAGGGCCGGCCCTGTGACTCACTCGGGAGAGTGCGGTGCTGATAACACCAAGGCCAAGGGTTCGGATCCCACATAGGGATGGCCGGTTAGCTCACTGGGTGAGCGTGGTGCTGACAACACCAAGTCAAGGGTTAAGATCCCCTTACCGGTCATCTTTAAAAAAAAAAAAAATAATAATCTAGCAGAAAAACAAAACAAAACAATCTAGGTATATAAAACAAATATGCCGTAGTAGTTTGAATAAGCAAAAAACTTGTATCATTTTATTTTTGTTAACTAGTGCCTACTAAAATGGCTGGCACATTGAGGCATACAAACATTGCTTGAATAAATCCGAGTGGAACAGCGCAGATCTTTAAAGCATTTTTCTTCATTGACTTTTCTATTGAAAAAAGATAGGTCTTTCCTACTTTTTATATTTTCTTTTTTTTTTTTTATTTTTTTATTTTCTTTTTTTTTTTTATATTTTCTAATTTCACAATAGGAACTTACTGTGTTTGTTAATTTAAGATAACTTTATTTCAACAAATTTGATTGTACTCTTGCTGTGTTAAAATTTTAACAATTCAGTACACTAAGTATCCTGTAGATATTTTTGCTTAGTATAATCAGTTGCTATTTTTGTATATTAATTTGCTTATTGAATTTTTGTAGCTAAAAGAACAAGCTGCTGATTCTATTTTGGTACTAGAGGCAGCTCTAAAATTAAACAAGGATCTTTATATCCACACGATAAGAACTCTAGATTTATTGGCCATGGAACCAGGAATGGTAAATGGAGAAGCTGAGAGTTCTACTGCTGGATTGAAAATCAAAACTGAGGAAATGCAGTGCCAGGTATTTATTTCAGTATTTAATCAATGTATGACAGTTTTTTTGAAAATCTTACATGAGATCATCCTAGTATTTTTAATTAGAATTTATTTCTGCCTTTGTCTTTTGATTTAATAGATTAAAACTTTGTTTGCATTGTATTTGTAAATTTTATAAGACATAACTTGAAATTTTTCTAAAGAAATGGAAGGGAAATTTCATATGATCTGTTGTTTCTGAAAGAATTTCCCAATTGTATTTGGTAGACTGTTTAAATACTCAGAATTCAGTGGGTATACTTGGTATCACTGATTTGCAGCTCATTCATATTACTAAAAATTAGACAAAAAAACCCCCAAACCCCGTTAACATTGTGCTAGACTTTGAAAAATCTAGGCTACTGGAGAAAATATCTGCCTTTTCAAGGATCCTAAGTTTGTCTACTTTCTCTAATTCTGGGCCCTAGATCCTTTGACAGCTTTCAGTTGATATTTATTGCCAGATACTATTTTATTTGTTCATGTCTTCTTTTTCTCTGACAGATTGTATAGTTTTTGAGGTCTCTTTTTTATGTTTTCTGAATCTTACTTTCTAGCACAGAGCCTTGAATATAATAGAGATTTAAAAATATTTGATGAGGGCCGGCCCGGTGGCACACTGCTACAGTGCGCCGCCTGGGAGTGCGGCGGCGCTCCCGCCGAGGGTTGGGATCCCACATGCAGACCGGTTCCTGCTCACTGGCTGAGCAAGGTGCGGTGCAACACTGAGGGTTGCGATCCCGTTGCCGGTCCCGGTACGGGGTTCCCGCTCACTGGCTGAGCGGGGCACGGGCGCGACGCCGAGGGTTGCGATCCCGTTGCTGGTCCCGGTCCAGTACGGGTGCGACACTGACGGTTGCGATCCGTTGCTGGACATGAAAAAAGACAAAAAATAAAAAAATAAATAAAAATATTTGATGATATCCTAGGCACTAGGTTAGTGCCTTTTAAATTATGTTCTCATTCCTTAGTTGTATGAGTTGGGGTGGCTTCTTTCATGACTACTTCCTTTTCTGGAAAGGGGCAGAAATAGTTATGACAGAGTCAGGAAGGTGCCTTTTCAAATTAGCTGGTTATAGAGCTGAATCATTTTTTTCAAGACCCCATGAGATGGAGTTTACAGTAGGAGTAGGAGTGACGAAGTATTGATACTTGGTAACCTTTTAAAATAATTAATGAAACTTGCATATATAGGAGGGTTTCTGGACTCTGTTATTTCATAATCTTTCAGAGTCTGTTTAAAAGTTTTTGTAGTGCTTCTGATTTTCACAATATGGTGGATGATATAACTTGAAAAGCAGAACGAAATTCATATAAAACACCTAAGGTTGCAAGGTAAACTTTATCAAATATTCTTTTAATTACATACCGGAATCACAATTTCTGTTTTTTGAATTACAAATTAATGGTAATACTCATTTCTTGGCATGATAATATTTAAAGTGTGTTCTTTACATTGCTAAAGTTCCTAAGATTCAAAAGAAAAAAAAATTTTTTTTTTTCCTTTTGTCACAGAAATATAGTTGTCTGTGAATCAGTAACTAGGAAGTCAAAGAAGTAGGTAAGATAGAGACTCCACTGAGGTGGTGGGTCACAGCAACAGTGACAGTAAAATCTAGTTTCCAGGGTCAGTGCTTGAGAAGTGTAGCTGCTTCTTTCAGTATCTAGTGTTGGTGGCTGCAGGGGATATAAGCTGTGAGGTCTAGTGTTGACATTGGCTGCAGTTGTATCTTCACTAGAATGGTTTTGGCTCTTGTCCTGACTGCCTGCCTTCCTCTCTTGCCTCTTTTGTTTTCCTAGCCTGATTTGCCTTCCCAGTAATTCTGTAGGTTACCTGAAATCATATCAGTAAGTCAATTTTCTGCTTAAAAATCAGTCAGAGTTGGTTTCTGTTGATTGTGACTAAACATTGATTATTTCATTGCTCGTTGAAATGTTTTCTTCCTATTTCTTTCCTTTGTTTTCCTTAGATAAAGATAATTTTGAGTTCTGTCAGCTCTTAAGTACATGAAAAATTATTAAGCAAATTGGTATTCATTACTGTTTCAGGTGTGTTATGATTTGGGTGCAGCATACTTCCAGCAAGGCTCCACAAATTCAGCTGTCTATGAAAATGCCAGAGAAAAATTTTTTAGAACCAAAGAACTAATTGCAGAGGTAAATATAGTCATAATCAGCACATAATATTCAATTCCTTAACACATCTATAGGTTTTTTGGCTTTAATGTTTCTGATGATAAAAAACAATGTGTTCATTGTGGTAAATTTGGGATGTTAAAAATACTAAAAACTGGTTTGCAAAAAATCTATATCATTGCCTGGAAATAACCCCTTTGGCTATTTTAGTGTATTTTCTTCCAGTTTTCTTTTTCTTTTCATACAATTAAGTTCATATTGTACAAGGGGTCTTCAGAAATTCATGGAAGGATTTGTATTGTCTTTTTAAGTTTTTCCATGAACTTTTTGAGATTCCCTTGTATATACTATTTTGTATTGCTTAAATCTTTGAATAGGCATTTTAAATTTATCATGTGGATATGCTCTGATTTACTTTATTTCCTTATGTTTGGTCATTCAGGTTTTTTTTGTTTGTTTGTTTTTTGGTGTTTGGTGGGTATAGGGATTAAACCCTGGACCTTGGTGTTAACAGCACTGTGCTCTAACCAACTGAGCTAACTAGCCAGCCTTATTGAGGGTTTTTACTCTTTATTATAAAGCTGCAATATTTATATCTCCAAGCATAAATTTTTCAGATTTTAGAGGCTTTCAAGTTAAATTTCTATGGGTAGAATTACTGTGTCAGTGGTTATTAATTTTTTAAAGGCTATAATTTATAGAACCAATTGCTTTCCAGGTACATTTCTCCCAGGGTACTCCAATCAGCAGTGAACGTTTTAAAAAAAGAATTTTTTTTTGTTAATTTGATGGGTGAAATATGGTATCTTTTATAAA